AGGCTCGGACAAGGGCTCTGTGTCGGAGGCAGAGACGGGGCCGAGGCTGTCTGGCAGTGATCAGGTGCCTACAGAGCTAGAAATCAGTGCGGCAGAGGAACATCTAGAGCCTGTTCCTAGTGCGCGCATGCGCAGAGCTGCCAGAAGAAAAGAACAACTCAGAAATCAGGGTAGACTTGGGAGTAAAGTCACAGGTGGAAGGTGATTGGGCCCTCCCATAGGTAATCAAAGGGGAGCAATAGGGGAGTGGGCTTTTGCAGGAAACAATTCATTCGTTCAGATTTGTTTCAGGAGTGTGAAGATCTGTCCGTGAATCTCAGAGACTCTGTGCCTGGTCTTTCCTTGCACAGCACTGCGTTTGGAAAATATTTACATGGCAGCTTCCCAAGCTAGATAAGGTCATAAATTCACTTTTGAAAGACTGTTTACTATGCCTTGGCTGAATGTGAATGAGAGGAATTCACATTCATTTAATAAAAGGGGGTTTGTCGGGACCAGGACTCTGCCTCTTGCCTTTTGGGGGGAAGCCTAGGTGAGAACCAGTTCTATAGGTTTTTGGGGAGTTCCACCACAATCCACAGTAATTATCTATCAGTGTTTCCCAACCTTGGCCACCTTAATGTGTGGACTTCAGCTCCCAGAAATCCAGATGAAGTCCACACATCTTAAAGTGGCCAAGATTGAAAAACTTTGCTCCAGTGGAAAGTTTCAGAGTAACACTGGGAACAAGCTCTAGCTGTTCTTCTGCCTCACTGTAGCCCTCAGGACTGGCCCCTGTTCATCCCCAACCTCCTCACTGTCTGACTCTGCTGCCAACTCCGCAGGCCACCGGTGGACCACAACAGGGGCCATGGAGCGGTGTGTAGAGATAGCTGGGGTGCCGTAGCCAAAATAAAATTCTTTCCCCTGGGAATCAAGGACATTGGTGCAAGTGTTCAAAAGGTGGAGACTAAGGTTACCTAGCAACTGGACTACATGCCAATTGGACCATGTGATTGGTGACTCAAAGAGGGAGAGAGTGTCAAAGTTTGACTTTTAATTGGGTGTAAAACCGGCGGGAACTTCAAGCCGTTTTTTCACCAAGTCTGCGCCAATTTGATATGTCCCAATAAAATGTTCTTTGAGGAATATGCCTGCCTTGGAGTTCTTATTGAATGGAATGTATTACTTGGAACTTGGCAAGAAGGCAGTGCTAGGCACAGATAAGAGATCTGTGCAGAACCCTCAAAACTCCTGTGGCACGACAAAACCGCGCTCAACTAAGCCGCGCCCGATTAAACCGCGTCACTGACGTCAACAACAGGGCGACAACAGCGAGCATGGAGAAAGAAGGGCGCTTTAAATAGCGCTTTGAAAGCAAGCCGATTCAACTTAAGGTTAGGGTTAGCTTTAGGGTTAGGTTTAGGGTTAGGTTAAGGGTTAGGGTTAGGTTAAGGGTTAGGTTTAGGGTTAGGTTTAGGGTTAGGTTAAGGGTTAGGTTTAGTTGTTAGGTTTAGGG